CTGAAACACGACACACAAAGGCTCAGGGTAAATATAGAGTCTGACGGAAACAAGAGGAGACACAGACACAGACACAGACACAGACACAGACACAGACACAGACACAGACACAGAGAGAACAGCAGCGTTATCCTGCGCTGCAAAAAACTAGGCCAAAATGTAAGATATAAACACTTCAATCTATCAGAAAATGATTTAAAGTAGTGAAATGATCTGTCCATGCAGCAAGATCATTTTGCTAGACAAGTTCTCTTAAAATAAATACCGTATTTTCTGCACTATAAGACGCACTGTCATTAAATGGTGTATTTTTGAACTTTTTTCACAAATAAACCGCGAGTCAAATTTCATGGGGTTTGGTCAATAATTAACCCAGATATTGAGAAACTAAATTTTTGACCCCATTTACCACAATGTTAACTAAAATTTCAAAGTGATCCAGAATCCAGAATTTCTTCCGGATCACCCCCAAAATGAAATCAATTCTTCCTTTTCACATTTCCAACAAATCCTGAAAATTTCATTAAAATGGGTCCATAACTTTTTGAGTTATGTTGCTAACAGACAAACAAACAAACAAACAAACAGACAAACAAACAGACAAACGCCGGCAAAAACATAACCTCCTTGGCAGAGGTAAAAAACTGAAACTGAAAAACTGAACAGGAGACTCCCAATCTCTACTTCTGACGTCACAATCCTGGAAAGTTCAAGTGTTTTCGAGTATTCAGATGGAGCAAACTTAAACAAGTTAAACACTTAAAAAATGTGTAAAAGAAGCTAAAAACAATGTGATCTTTAAGACTTAGACAAACGTTATTGATCCACAAGGGAAATGATTTGGACACAGGAGCTCACAAAAATCACACGGGTTCTCCAAAAATGGACCCGTGCAGGACTCTGCGCTGTAGAGCACCATTACGGAATAAATTAATCTCGGGTTCGTTACATAAAGAAGGAGGAAAATAACAAAAGCATGACAGCAGCAATAAGTTTTAAGGACGCAAAAAGGATTGTAAGTGTCCTGTGTGAGAAAAGTGTATAACGTGTGTGCTGGGGGGTTTTACACACTTAAAAAGGACATAATAATTGTAAAAAATAAAGCTGACTACTTCGTGGATTTCACCTATCGCAGGTTATTTTTTAGAACATAACCATCCTTATAAACGAGGGACCAGTGTAACTCAAAATTAGAGCTCATCAAGTTCTAATTTTTGATTCCGGTCACTGCTGAGTCCATCCTTGTTTATTTACCGCTTGAGTTTTGTGTGTTTTCCGCTCCGGACGAGGTTTTAATGAGTCCCTCGCCGAGACTAATTAACAACAGATTTAATGAAATGGGTCATAACCTGTCGCTGCTGAGGAAATCCACACACCAGGTTTGTTTGAAAGAAGCACAGATTTTGGTTTTCTATGAGAAGTTTGGAATAAAAAAAGCTTCTCCGGTCTCTTGACGTTCCCTCGCCGGTGATTGAAGGTGAGTACATTTGGCTGCAGGCTTCACGCGCTTTTGTTCAGACTGTCTGTTTGTTCAGATTCCGTTGGACTTTTTTTTTTCGGAGAGGTTGTAAAGTATTTTGGTTTGTGTTTGGCTGAAGGATTTGTGGCGTGCTCCGGTGTCCGCTCGCGTCGCCGCAGGTACATCACGAGCGCACACAAACAAAGCAGAGGACAGGACTATAAATACACCTGTCCTCCAGCTGACAGGGCCCAGCAGAGACGACAGGCGAGAAAACCAGGGCAGGTGTAAGGACGGGGGGGGGGGGGGAGGACATACGGCAAACCAGACTTGTTTTTTAAAGTCCGATGCACTTCCTCTCTGGACATTATGGCTGCACAATTTGGGAAAAATGAAATTGTGTTTTTACTGACAATAGATTAGACTTTAAGTAGGGCTGGGCAAAATTTAAAAACATCTTAATCACATTAGTCGCATGAGTTCTTGTGATTAAGCATGATTATTCGCATGTTATACACTAAACCAATAAATGAATTTAAAAGTAGCGTATATTGACTTTTATTGGAAATGTAAATGAAAGTGCCACATTTATTGTACAAACAGAATTTCTTTATACAGCAGCAGGGGACGAGTCTGTAAAGTCCATGTTTATACTTCTTCCTTTGGAGAATCTTACTCTTTTGTTTTGTTGACTCTTTTGTTCTCCCGGGAAAGACCCAGGACACGCTGGAGGGACTATGTCTCTGGTCTGGCCTGGGAACGCCTCGGGGTCCCACCGGAGGAGCTGGAGGAAGTGTCTGGGGTGAAGGAAGTCTGGGAGTCCCTGCTTAGAACTGCTGCCCCTGAGACCCGGCCCCGGATAAGCGGACAAAAATGGATGGATGGATGGACTCCTTTGTTGACCACTTTTAGTACAGTTTATCAGTTCCTAGAATCTAACTCAATGAATTGAATTCAAAGTAAAGTGCACGTGATCAGCAGCAGTAAAATAAAGTGTTCAGTGTAAATCTCAACAAAAAAAAAATCTAATCTAATCAAATACAGCACTGAAATGTATTTCCACTGCCAGGGCTTTAATGTTTCCTGTTTGATATAAAAATGAGAATCTCAGTCATAAACAATAAAAACAGAAACAGAACAAACAACCAGAAAACACTTTTGTGCACTTTGTCAATTCCTAGAACCTTTTTTTTTTTTTTTTTCTGCACAAAGCAAGTTGCTAAGGCATACTAGAATATTATTATTATTAAGAATGTGGCTCCGGCTTCTTGCGGATGAAAAGTGGGACGGGGGGTTGTGACGAAGAGCGATGGACGAGGCAGCGGTGCCCTGAAAGCTCCTGGTGCCCGACGCGCTGTGCGTTTGTGCAGAGCGACGGCTCGGACACGTTGCATCTCACGTGGTCGGCCGAAGTCTCGCTCCTCTTACTTCACTGAATGATTCGCCGAAAGACTCGTCTGGAAGAACTTTAAAATGAAAATGGCCGTGTAAAAGTTCCTCAGCAGCAGCACTAAGAAACTCTAAGCAAAAAACTAAAAACCAGTGAGCAACAGTTTTTAACAGCTCCTTTTACTTTTAGTTCAGTAGAGATTGGAAATTCCAGGGCTGAAGTTCTCCAAATGATTCTAGTGAAGGTGTGTGGAGTTTAAAAACACAGTGGAGCACTTCGTGTTTCACCACGTGACATCACAAGGTGGATTTTTTTTCTGTTTGAGGGAAGAACAAATGTTTGACACACAAATCCTGCATATTTAGATTGTGAGAATGAAACAAAACACAACTCCAGGTCTGTTTGTGCTGACGAAACAACACTAGATCAGAAAATAGAGTAATACGAGAATTGACCAAAAAAAAATAAAAATTCAGAAATACAGATCTAAACTACAGGGTCAGCAGCTTTTGTGCAGATTAAGACTGGAGATTTTATTGTTTGTGGAGGAATTTATGGTACTTCAAAAAGTGTAACCTTTGCGATTTGCTAATTACCTTCATTCAAATTGTGATTCGATAACAATTAATCTTTCAGCCGTAGCAGCCAGCATAATTTTAGCAACGTGGGTCGAATATCTTGCCCAAGGACACAATGACAGAATGACAGAGATCAGGTTCTAACTAGATTGATAGCACTACATTTCTGGTTGTTGGGTTAATGCTCGACACACTGCACCACCCGTGACATTTGAAATCCTCCTCTAAAGGCAGGAGCTCGAGGGAAGTCCGGGCAGTTCGGGAGCTCAAGGGAGTCCGGGCGGTTCAGGAGCTCGAGGGAGTCCGGGTGGTTCAGGAGCTCGAGGGAGTCTGGGCGGTTCGGGAGCTTGAGAAAATCCGGGCGGTTCAGGAACTCGAGGGAGCGGTTCAGGATCTTGAGGAAGTCCAGGCGATTCAGAAGCTCGAGGAAGTCCAGGCGGTTCAGGAGCTCGAGGGAAATCGGGGCAGTTCATGAGCTCGAGGAAGTCCGGGCGGTTCATGAGCTCGAGGGAGTCCGGGCGGTTCAGAGCTTGAGGGAGTCCAGGTGGTTTGGGAGCTCGAGGGAGTCCAGGTGGTTTGGGAGCTCGAGGGAGTCCAGGTGGTTTGGGAGCTCGAGGGAGTCCGGGCGGGTCAGAAGCTTGAGGGAGTCTGGGCAGTTCAAGAGCTCGAGGGAAGTCCAGGCGGTTCCGGAGCTCGAGAGAGTCCAGGCAGTTCAATGGTCAATGGTTTGATCACATCTCCCTTGTATCTGGGGGCAATTGGTCATACTTGTGTAATTAATGGAACTTTCTTATTTTGGATTTTGATCAAAATAAAGACAAATCTGAATGGTCACTCCCTAAACCCCTCAGCTGATTCATTACTCACTGCATTATGATTCATTTGCTCAATGGTAAACTTGGTACTTGGTACTTGTTTTATTTAATCAATCGCTGCTGTTTGGTCGTGACGTATGTAACGGGGGTAACTGGTATATTGAGCTTTTCTCAAATCCCGTAGGAAGAAGGACAATAACGTCTTTCCTCTTGATAAAATTCACCAAACAATCTAAATCAAACTAAATCCTCGATCTCGGGAATCGTTGACAACACAAAATCTCTGGCTCTTCGCTGATTGGCTGGTGCCCGAACTCACACTTCCGGGGTTTTTGCGAACTGTCTAGATCAGGGGTGTCAAACTCATTTTGGTCCGGGGGCCGTATCCGGCCGACTTTGATCCCAAAGGGGCCGGATCAGAAAACTCATGTCATATAAACCCCAAAATAGCAATAAGTTCAAATATTTGTGCAGAGAAACACAAATCTATTGCAGAAATCTTTTTTAATTGATGAACTTTTTCTTTTACAAAATATTATAATATTATGAACAACCTGAAACTTTAAGAAAAATGCAATTTCAACACAATGTTTTAACATTAACTTGTATGCAAATAGGAATAAGTCAGTTTTTCTTGGAAAATCCTGCACTCGGCTCCACTTTTCTCATTTTTGACAATTTGCTGATGAGGTCAAAACGATCGTCCTTTAAGAGCGTTTGGAAAGAGGCACGTCTTCATTTGTGCTGCTGTGGTGGGA